GAAAGGGGGGGTGAGTTCTGCTGAAAATCTGGCTTTTTTTCTGGATGCTGAGTGCTTGGGAGTCCATTTGGTGGATTGGAAATGGAACCCCCAGACTCAGGCACCCCAGATTATCCGGGCGGCTTTAGATGATGTGGCCGCGCTGTAAACAACTTGCTCGAGGTCACCTACTGAGCCGGGAGAAGAGCTGGGAATAGATCCCAGGTGCTCAGCTGCCCCTGATCCAGAGACCTGCCCCCTGGGGACTGGTCTGAGAACTGTCCCGAGAGCAGAGTGATGACTTTTGACCACTCTTGTGATGGGCCACGTTACACCAGTGACCTGGAGATGAAAGGCTCCATGGCCCAGTCCCGGTCCCCTGAGCCCTCCAGACTGTAGTGTTTAATATTGCCCTGCAACTCATTTTCTTTTATGGCTCTATTTACAGCTGTGGCCAAGTTCCCCCTCGATGTGGGCGATGCCGAAGAAAACTATGTGTGAAACACTCCTTCTTTGCCAAGAGGCCGAACCCAGGAGACAGGGGCATTATGTGTATATTGTACAAACCATATACCTGATATTTATTAAGATGAAAGATTCTTATTTATATCTGTTTATGTTATGAAGACGCATAGGGCCCGATTCTCATTACTCCGTTCCTGCGTCTGGGGCACGGGAGGGAGATTAGGGTGGCTTTAAACCACCTTTCTGCTCCTCATAGTCCTGGGTGGTTCAGAGCCATGGAGCCCATGGGAGGCAGTGACTAGCCGTAGCACGGAGCACTCCAACCATGTCTTCAGTCTGGACTGGGAGCAGGACCATTGTACTATCTTTACACCAGCTCTACACTGACTGGGGAGGCCCCCACGTGCAGGAGGGTTGTCTGGGGGCCATTTCCACCTTTTTTAAGGCCCCTTTATGCTGCCAGAGGGTCCTAGTGTCCCTGAGAATTGGGCCCACGCTGTATACTAGCCCCAAGACAGCACTCCCGGGCGTATTTATTTTTTTGTTTTAATTCTTGGTGCCCCCATCTGCAGAAGTTCCTGGACCTGTCCAGCGGGAATGTGAGGTTGAGCCTTCCCTTGTGGGACTTTCTGTCCTAGGGGCTCAGCTGTGGGGATGGACAGCTCCCGACGGCAGGAAACTCAGTTCAGAGCTGTGGTTGTTGCATCTTTTGTTTTCCTAAGCTTGTCCAATCCAGGTTCCCATGTAATAAGCAATGTCAGTGAGGACGCAGAGGTAACACAACCTCGCACACTGCCCTCGAAGCCAGGTTTCACACAACGGGCAAAGCTGGGCAAACCTTTGCCATTATAATGCCATGCCCCTGGGTGGCTCATTGGCAGCAGGGATAGAATCTGAGACCTCTGGAGCTAAAAGCATCAGCTCTGTTAGCTAGTGCTGTGGCAGGCTCATTGACCTAGACGGGGACAATGTGCCACATGAGTGGGTTACACCAGCCTGGATCATTGCAACTGCAAAGGGCTCCAGTCTGGATTCAGAGCCAAATTTACCCAGAATTCAGTGGTGTTGGTCTCTTAGTTCAGGCCCATCTCGGTAATACCTCTGGGCTTCATTTTTCATTGTCCTGCACCTTTGCATAGGGCGACCAGACAGCAAGTATTAAAAATCGGGACGGGGGTGGGGGGTAATAGGAGCCTATATAAGTAAAAGACCCAAAAAATCAGGACCATCCCTATAAAATCGGGACATCTGGTCACCCTACCTTTGCGGAGCCACTGATGCTGGTGCAAAGCAAGTATGCATGGTAGCACTTGGCACTCGTTCGGAGGCTGTGAGACAAGGCATCTGAGACCAGGGCCCCAAGGGGATGTGCGTTAAAGAGACAGGCAGGCAGCTTTGGTCCCGACTCTGACCTCTCCTAACGTCATTACAAACCTGATCTCGCCTACATCAGCTTTAGGGGAGTCGCTCTGATTGACAGCGGTGTAAGTGAGAGGAGAACCCGGCCCAGTGCCTTTTGGGTTTTAAATGTCATTCTGGGGTTTTCAAATCAGTCCCTTGATCACCATCAGGCCCATGCTGAAAGGCCACTGCTAGCTACAGAGCATGCTGCAGGTTGACTGCAAACTCTGTTTCCAGACTGGCCCCTTTCCCCCGGCTGCTGACCCTGGGACACAAACGGGGGAGGAATCGCTCACTAGAAACGGGGGAGGGCAGTCGGGAAGAGAGGTGATGAGTGCTTGGCAAATAGGGAAGCGTTGCGAGACGAAGGTTGGCTGCGTGGTCAAGCCCTGAGGCTCAGGAGATCTGGGTTTAATTCCCAGCCCTGCCACAGCTTCTGTATGTGACTTTGGGGTCCCTGTGCCTCAGTTCTGCCCCTGTAAAAATGGGGGTGGTAGTCCTTCTGTTGTCTGTCTAGTCTGGTTAGCCTCTCCTCCAAACTCCTGCCTCTCTCTCTCCCTGTGTGTGTTAACAGAGCTCTGCCCCTGATGGCAACAGGAACCTCTAGTTGCTATTACATTGGGTTGGCCTGTTGTGTCCTGGAAGCGGTGCCTGGCTCCTGTGACACCCACCCCAGCTGCCCCTCTCCAGCAGGTTGGTTTCTTGAACCTCGGGACATTACAGCTGTCCCTGGCTTATCAAACACATCATAAGAACCTCATGGACACATTCAAAAAGGATCCTCAACTCAGCTTCCTCTGATCGCATCCCCTGTATTTATTTTTCACATCCCCGGCGACATCATGTGTGTTGTGACCTGTGTAAATAGCGTATCGTCTCCAACACCACGCGGCTCAGAAACCATTGCCTTTATATTATTATATATATTAAAAAATCCCCTCTCTTCTATTTTTGTATGGTTGTGTCCCCATCCTTTACGTATGCCATGTAACATGTATGTTTCCTATTCCATATTGTTCGGGGGCATTTTACTGCTATGTTACATTTTGGGTTATAATTAAAAGGAATAAAACTAGTTCCACGTCGTCGTTTTCTTTTAGTAATTTCTAAAGTGGAGGCCGTGCCCAGATTCACAGAGCTGAAGGCCAGAAGAGGCCATTCTGATTAACTAGTCTAGTCTGACTTTTTGCATACCACAGATGAATTGCAACCAATGATTCCTGCAGCAAGACCAGTAATTTGTGGTCGAGCTAGAGTATGTCTTTAGGAAAGAGACATTTAATTTGATTGAAAGATGGCGAATGCTCAAGAATTCCAGTGAGTAATCGCTATTAAAAATGTGCATCTTTTTTCCAGTCTGAGTGACAGCATTGGAGACAAGAGTCTTCTGTCATCCATAGAACAAGTGCATCCTGGGTACCAACAGCACCAACTTCCCCAGCAATATATCTCAGCCCTGACCTTGGCCTCGCCACTGAGATTGACAGCAAAGGGGAGCAGTTATTAGCAATGGAGGTGGTGTTTTTTTGTGGTCTCTTGTCCCAGATGGGGGGTTGATTGAGACCTGCCAAACTCATTTCACATAGGCTGCCAAACAGCCATCATGTGGTAAAGCCATCTGGGCATCACTGACCAGAGCACATAACACCAAATGGAAGTTCCTCCGCTGTAGCAGAGACCACTGAAATCAGGGGAAGCCTTTCTATGGCCCTCATTACCATAGTATCAGTCTTTAATGTATTTAGCCTCACAACACTGCTGGGAGGTGGGGCAGTGCTGTTAGCCCCATTTTACAGATTGGAAACCGAGGCATGGAGCAACTGGCGGAGGCTGGGTGGGGTGGGGCAGATTTGGGGCTGGGTGAGGATGGAAGAGCTGGGGGGCAGACCTAGTGGGGACTGGGTAGGGTGGGGCAGATTTG